AACAGCCTGACTTTAGGTCTGTAGCCTATGTAATATTTTTGTCTGTCCCTGCACGATATTCCACAGAACGGAATGTAAATAATAGATTATTTACAATGTTTGATTCCTTAATAGTTTTCATAAGAGAAGAACTGATTCAACATTATTTTGAGGGCGGGTATACCTATGATGAAATCTGCTGTATACTCCAAATTAGACATTTTTTTAGTTGCAGGTTGGCTCACAGAAGTCTTTTAAACAGTAACGTTACTTGTTAGCCATGAATAATGCTGATGTGCTGGACAACCTGTTCTCATTGGTCTATCCGCCATGGCATACACACCCACAAAACCAACACGTCACATTTTCTGAAACTTAAACCAAGTGGTAATTGCCCCTTAACAATACATTTAATAAACAGTTTGTTATCCACAGCACGTCTGGTATTTCTGGATTTCAAGGTGAAATTGAGAGGACAAGATAGAATATCTGTATCGGTTGGCAGATTTCTTCCTGGAACTTGATGAAAACAAGTCGGCACATTTTTACAGTATGCAAATTAGAATAACACCGTGGATAAGTTGGCCGGAACATTTTTGCTGAAAATGTTTTTCCCCCAAAAACACTTGGTTGAATTCTCAGAGAGGCGATATTTTCTTGTCAAGGGGCAGGGGTAGTCTAGCATTATTGGAATTAATTGTGTGATATGCTTTGCAGGTGGGAATTGTACTTGCCTTATTCGGAAAAGATTTTTAGAAGTGAATGGAATCATCACATTGTCATTTGTTAAACCCCAGCTTTTGCAGGTCCTATGCAACCCATTTGATGGGCGACGCACGACGGACGAAGCACGACGGGCGACGGACGACGCCCGACGGGCGACGTGCGACGGACGAAGCACGACGCATGACGGGCAACGCACGACGGACGACGCACGACGGAAAATGGCATGTTTGGAACTGGTAAATGGCAGAATTGGGACACAACAAAAAGCAAAATGCGACGGGCGACGGCAGATATGGAATTCCATACGTAACTAACATAACAGTAGTCAAGTGTTACGTGGCTTGTAGGCGCGGCCTATATTATGTATGGACTTGAAACTAAAGGGACGACAGAATATCCGGTCCTGCCGGACACTCATTGCGCGCGGGACGAAATATCTGGTCACCCCAGTCTCCATTAATCACTTTCAAAGTCCGAAGCAACACTTACACGCTCGTCCCCAATAACAAGGATAGAATTATACGATAAAATTCTGTAGATGTATTTTAAAAAAGGAAAACACTCGTCGATCTCATTGCCCTTTTGAGCGCAGCAGGGGAGGAGTATACCGCGTCCTCGACGTCACGTAGATCGTATCAACTCTGTCCATGACAAGCAAGCTTCAAGCGCCCTCTTAGTCCGCGCGATTGCTGGGCGCTGGTGTCGCTCGTGACATGCACCCAGCGCCCGACAAGGCGTTGGGAAGGGCTGATGTCTTTGCACTGTGATTGGCTGCACTAATTGTGCACCACCTGTGATGGCCCACAAATGGCCTTGGTATAATCACAGTGTGGTAATATATCTTTTCACTAAGTATCACTGATCACGTGTCTTTTGGGAATATATTTCAAATCACTGGTTCATATAACCAAATGGTGTTGTGAGAATATTTTAAGCAATGAGGAGGACAAAGAAAAATATCCCATTGATAACCGCCGCTTGTGTAACGCATTGAGCGAGCTCTTGCGCCTGCAGGCAGATATTTACCCACAATACTTTGCACGTCGTCAGCTGTGACTCAGTGTGACGTGCATGTATTTCCTTTACTGAACTCTGTGCAAGGCCATCAGGGTGCAACCCTAAACATAAACTCCAATAGACACCAATGATACATCCTTATATATTTCAAAAATTATTTTAAACATACAACTCTTACAGGTGTCCAGGCTAGACAGAATAACGATGTTTGACATGTCCTCTTTCATTTTCCTTTTATTTTTTAGTGGGTTGACCAATGAATTTTTTAAGAAATTCACACCCCGGCGAAGTAGACCACCCCCAAAATGAAGGAAATTCCACTGCCCGGAAAATGAGCAGTTTTGAAAATGCATCCCTTTGCAAAACGGCTAAATAGTGCCACTTTCGGACCCGACAGCATCCAAATAGCTAAGAATTGGAAGCACCGAGTCCAGGCATGGGGTTCAGTGCCATATTTTCTCAATTTCTCAATTCCTTGGCTCTCAGGACTCTCTAATAATTATAGATTATTCAGTAATGAGGTCAGCGGACACATTTCTCGCCTACTTGCGGGGGTGCATCCATCAGCCCTTTCCAAATCCCTGCTCGGGCGCTGGGCGAAGAGCGAAGGCGCTGGTCAACCATCGCTTTACAGCGATCATGCAGCACCGCTCTTTACACGTCTAAGTGGGAGTGCTGGGATAGGCTGGGCACTCTCCGATCACTTCACTTTGGCTCCAGTCCCCTATGGACTGTTCTCTTATTTCTCAAAACTTTCAAAAATTAAGAAATTGCTTGAGCAATTTTATCCAGTGCTGCCTAGTGGGGGTCGGAGTATTCTGACGAAAATGTAACTCTACTTCAACTTAGCCAACAGGCTTACAGAGATTGCAATGCCGGCAGCCCTCCGTCTTCTATACATGAAAACCTAAAACATCCCTGCTCAACAGCCCGGCTGCTACAATCAGGGACGTATTCGTTTATCATAAGCAAGTATAAAGCAATGACACTTCCGGGTGTTATTTAGATAGTAAACGAGCTGAATAATTTCATAATTTCCCCCACGGCGCTTTGAAAAATGTGCCCCGACCATAGCATCTCCTTTGTTCAAGCATTTTCATTATTTCTTCCTACCCAAAAATATTGCAGTAACGACACATTTTTGCCAAAAATGTTGATCCACATATTCTGAAATCCGACGCCAATAATCCCTTTGTACTTCTCGCCCTCCATAGCTGCGGGCCGATTGCAAGTTGGCGGCATTTCACTTTGAAATGTGAGACCCCGCCACTAATTGCTTCCGAGGCTTGGAACGGCGTTGAGTGTCTGTGCGCTACCGGGCTAAATGATCCGTGCTTAATATTAAATTGCAATATATGGCCAGCGGCGCTTTCGTGTGGCGCAGGAAAAAGAAAACTTCCCATGAAGTTAGCATGTACAAGTAGACGGGTCGGCCTTTCATACAGTCTCAATACTGGAAACACGCTTTTAGCAAATGCATGGGCAAAGGATCAGCCTCCCCTGTGTTTTTAATGCTAAAAGGGAAAATTACTTTGACTATTTCATGATTCTCGCGTACATTAAAAAAAATGACAGCATATACCCGAGTAAAAATGATGATTATTCAAAACTATGACCTCTCGTATATTTCACTAAGATCGTTATTTGAAATATTATGTATAGAGACCAGTTCACTCACCATGAAGGCAAATCATGATTTGAAATATATTCAATTTTGCGAATTTGCAGCGCAAGCGTCCACCTCAACACTTTTCAAAAGTACAACCCACTCAACCATTTGGATAGCCAGTTTTTAAACACATTACGTCTATTTATAGTCTGAAAGACATTTATTATTTACTCCACACTTTTGACATTGATTTTGTTTTCCGACAAAACAACATCATCCAACTCTTGCAGAAAGTTATGTTACACAACTTTTCGTTTGAAGTGAAATACGTTCATTTCCATACAAACACTTTGTACATTTAAATATTATTTCTTACAGGGTAAGCTGTTTCAAATGAGCTACATCTAAAAATACAGAATC